GCATAGACTACCGTGGTTTAAACCGAGTGACAGTGAAGAACAAGTACCCTCTCCCGAGGATAAATGAGTTGGTGGACCAACTCCGAGGTGCTACTGTGTTCTCCAAGATAGATTTGGCTTCAGGTTATCATCAGATTCCAATAGCCGAGACAGATGTTCAGAAGACAGCTTTCGGACAAGGTATGAGCATTATGAGTTCGTGGTGATGCCCTTCGGTTTAACTAATGTACCGGCTGTATTTATGAAACTGATGAATAGCGTGTTCAGAGACTGTCTGGATGAATTCGTGATCATCTTCATAGATGATATCCTGGTTTATTCTAAGAACCCGAAGGAACATACAAAACATCTGGCCACGGTCATGGCTAGACTAAGGGAGCATAAGCTATTCGCCAAGCTTAGTAAGTACAGCTTTTGGCAGAGTGAGATTGGTTTCTTGGGTCATGTGGTCTCGGACAAAGGGGTGAATGTTGACCCGGAGAAGGTCAAGGCTATAGTAGAATGGCCGAGACCTAAGAATGCATCCGAGATAAGGAGTTTTCTCAGATTGGCTGGCTACTACCAGAAATTTGTTAAGGGATTTCCGAGCATGGCATAACCCATGACTCAGCTGACTGGAAAGGATGTTACATTCGCATGGTCAGCGGACTGTGAGAAGAGTTTCTCTAAGCTTAAGAACATGCTTACGAGTACTCCGGTCCTGGCTCTACCAAAACCCAGTGAGCCTTATGTTGTTTACACGGATGCATCAAAGACTTGACTGGGCTGTGTTTTGATGCAACAGGGAAGTGTGATTGCTTATGCATCACGGCAGTTGAGGAAATATGAGCAGAACTATCCGACGCATGACTTAGAGATGGCGGCTGTAGTTTTTGCTTTGAAGATTTGGCGGGCTTACTTATATGGGGAGAAAGTCCAAGTCTTCACGGATCATAAGAGCTTGAAGATCATTTTCACTTAGCCAGAGTTGAACATCAGACAGAGGAGATGGATGGAAACTGTTCGGACTTTGACTTAGATATAGCCTACCATTCGGGAAAGGCTAATCTAGTGGCGGATGCTTTGAGTAGGAAGAGAGTAGCCGTGAATTCAGAGAAGGATATGGAGGAGTTAGTCAACCTGGTTGGCACCTTACACTTGAACGCCTTGACCCAATTAATTTACAGCAAGTGCACAGCAAAACAGTTGTAGCATAAAAGGTTATCGAATCCCAAGGAAGTGAGCTTACTACACTAGTGATTTATAGATTCAGATTAAGCTAAGCAGTAAATAATGAATGTAATGCAAAGTAACAAAAATTATGAAAGCAGGCGATTTTGATTGATTCTAAGACTCAGAAAACTAAACGCACTAAGTCAGGACAATTTGCAGGTTGAATCCGAGAATGTAGAATGCATGAAATCAGGAATGAATAAGAACCGTTTTGAACATGAATCGCAGAGATATAACTAATCAATTCTCATTGCAGAAGTTAACTATGTCTAAATCATAGAGTTTCAAATCTCTTTGCAAACTCTAACAACCTAAACATGCAGTAATGATCAGGTTCAATTGTTCACAAAACTCCTAAGTCAAATCTCTTTGCACTAAGGCGTTTTGCTCATCTAATACTAGTTCAGATGGGTAACAATGTTCTCATATCTATTAAACAACCTAGGTTTCGAATTTCCAGATGATGTGTCTAAGAAAATTGGTTTTAAAGCAAGCACATATGAAGAACCAACAGATATTCCTAACAGGTTTAGCGATTCTACAAACTCTTCATCAACCTTTGAAAAGCCCTAACTTAACTAGCAGATTACTCAGACATGATCATGGAAACACAAAGCATAGCTGAATAAAATTGCATTGAAAGAATAGAATAAAAGATAAAGGGGTTCAAAATTTTCTCCAAAAGAGTACAAGATTTGTCTCCCCAAAAGCTTTGAATAAAACTCTCTCTAAAGCTCTCTAAATTCTAAAGTTTGAGATCCCCCAAAGCAAACAATGGCTGAAAACCTAATATATACAAGCTAAAACATGAGCTTGAACACTTTTGCAAATACTGGAACTTCTGGGACAAAAGTGCAAATAATCCACTATTTTTTAAAAACAAGCCACGATCCTTCTCAGATACGAGTGACGAGCGTCATATGAAGATACGGGTGTCTAAAAGCTTTATGGTATTTATTAAATGTGAAAATTTATATTCAATGAAAATATGTAATTATTATTTTTTTATTACATATATACATATTATAAAAAAAAATATTATGTAAAAACAAGCCACGACCCTTCTCAAAAACAAGCCACGATCCTTCTCAGATACAGGTGTCTAAAAGCTAATATGATATTTATTAAATGTGAAAATTTATATTCAATGAAGAATAAGTAATCATTATTTTTTTATTACAGATATACATATTATGAAAAAAAATATTATGTAAATAATTTTTTTTCTGGTTTGTTAATGATTTTTTTGCCGGAAATCATGGGTTTGCGGATTTAACAAATACAAATTTGTAGATTTTATGGGTTTTAAAAGTTCTAGCGGATTTTGTAAGTTTTAGCGGAAATTATACTTTTACGAGAAAATGCTGGTTTGACAAAAAATGTGCTTTGTAGATTTAACAGAAACACATGATTTTAGAAATTTGGTCGTAAATCATAATTTTGCAGATTTTATGGGGTTTATGGGAAAACACGGGTTTATGGAATGCAAATAAAGCAATTTTGTGGATTTTAGGATTTTACAGGTTTTAGCGGGAAAATTTAGTCACACGGGAAAATGCGGGTTTGTGGGTTTGGAAACTCGATTTTGCAGGTTTTGCAGAAACACATGAGTTTCGAAATTTGGTCGTAAAACATGATTTTATGAACTTTACAATTTTACGGAAAATATGGGTTTGTGGATTTGGCCAGAAACGTGATTTTCCAGATTTAATGAGGTTTACATATTTTGGCGGGGTTTATTGGTTTTGATGGAAAATGCAGGTTTGCGGGTTTGATGAGAAACGCAATCTTGCAGGTTTGACAAAAATACATAATTTTAGAAATTTGACCATAGAATACGGTTTTATGGTGTTGGGGAAAACATAAATTTTAGTTTTGTTAAAAAATGTGGGTTTACAATTTTGGAAAGAAAATACAGTTTGTTGAAAAATGCTATTTTTACAGTTTCTACGGAAATTCTTTATTTTGCTACAACAACATGATTTTAATAATTTTTGATTGTTAAAAAAATGTGAGTTTACAATTTTGGCAGGAAAACACTGCTTGATGGAAAATGCTATTTTTTACAGTTTCTATGGGAGTTCTCAATTTTGGTACAACAACGTGATTTTAGTATTTTACGAAAAAATGCGGCTTTTTTCTAAAGAAAACTCTGATTTTATGGTTTTGACAAAGAAAAGATTGATTTTGTGGTTTAAGTTAAAAAGTGTTTTGGTCTTTTAATGTTTGAGATTCAAATGCTGCATCCAAACTTTATTTTTTTAGCATTTTAAATATTCAAATTTTGAGAATTAAAGATTTTATATCCAGATATTTAAAAGAATAATATTTGAACATCTACATCCAAATAAGTATATGGATGCAAAAACAAACAAAATTGAAGTAAATATAAAATCTCTCTTGCATTATAAAGCATAATATTTTGAAAATAGTTGTTACAAAATTTAACCGAAAATTCGTTAATCAAAATATTTTTGTTATAAAATCAAGCTTAAATAATTTTAAAAACATAAAATCATAATATAAATTAGTTTATATAATCTAATAGAAAAATTGTTTGGGCCACAATTTTAAATTTAATAATACTTTCTCTGTTTTTAAATAGAAGATGTTTTAGTTCTTGCACAGGTTTTAAGATAGTTTTATTTTTCCATTACTTTTTTTCTTTTCCAATACAATTATACTAATACCAATAGAATAAAAGTAAAAATAATATTTAACTTAAAATATATTAATTAAAAACTAAAACATCAAACTTTAAAAAACAAGTAGAAATCCTAAAACATCATACAATAAGATAATTTTTTTGAACAAAAGTTTAATATAAACTGATTTTTGGTATGACTTAAAAACATTTTATGAAAAGAAATCCGTGCAAGTGCGTGGATCCAAAATCTAGTTAGCTTTAAAAAGAAAAAAAAAAACATCTATCAAATTTTCGAACAGCGGCCAAAAGTTTTACTCTCTCATTCCTAGGGGTGGGCGCGGATCGGTTATCCGGAAATTTTTAAGTATTTGTGGTTTGCTCCGTTTTTAACGGATATTTAATTTTATGATTTGATTTGCTCCGGAAATATACGGATATCCGGATTTTCGGATATCCGAAAAATTTACAAGTATTTGCGGATATTTGCGGATATTTACAGATATTTATGAATATTTAGTTTGATCCGTTTAATATACAAAACTGAAAGTACATCAATTTTTATTATAAAAAAAAATATTTTTCATCTAAACTATTAAGTAAAAATAACTAAAAGAAAACATTTTATCTTATAAAAAATCTATAAAAATACAAAATTAAGATGAGGAAAAAATGATATTTTATATTTAAAAATAATATTAACTAGTTGAAACTTTAATATTAAACTTTACTAAAAAAACTTTGTTGATATTTATTAACTAATATCAAATAAAATATTATTTATTAACATATTTTAAGTTTAAACATACTATTTATTTTTATGATTGGTTATTTAGTCATTTATTTTATATAATCAAAAAAATTTAGAAAATATTAAAAATTTAGGAAGAAAATCGAGAGTATATTAATAAAAATTTATAATATAATTGATATATACATGATAATATATACTAATATATAATAAATTTATAAAGATACGCATCGGATCGGATATCCGACAAAAACATATTTGTGATTTGCTCCGTTTTGTACGGATACTATATTTTGTATTTGCTTTGCTCCGAAGCTTTACGGATATCCGGATTTTTCAAATCGGATCGAAGCAAATATCGGTTCGAACCGGATATAACGGATATTTTGCCCACCCCTACTCATTCCTCAACCAACCGATGTAAAACCCATTTGAATAAATAAAATACACACAAGTTGCCACAAAACAAGTATTATCTGTTTTTAACAAATATCCTAAAAGCCTAACATCTTTCTCTGCTGAATTTTCCGACTAAGCTCCTCTGCCAACGGGATACCGTCACCGCCACTTCTTCCGGCATTTTTTCCGGCGCTCCGCCACCATGATGTCAACTCTTCCTGCTCAGGTAAAAAAAATACAAAATATCCAAATATAAAACTTATAAATCATACAAAAACGACTCTTCACAACATATTCCGAACCCAAAAAAAAACACTCTCAACAACATTTAGGGATATTTTCTTTGCGAATTCCAAAACTTTTGACCTAATTGGTCAATCAATAAATTACCTCAAGAAAGTCGTGGTTTGAGATAAACTGAGACTCAACAAAGCAAGTCATCCCTCCAACCTTAACCGAAATTGTGCTGTTCATTGAATGTTTACTTGAGCTTTGTCCCTCTGTGGCACCTAAATATGTCGTTAAAACCAACATCGAGTCACAGAGATTCAAGAAAAATTCAAGAACGACAGCGATTTTCGAGAAAATCTACCTTCTATGCGGGCTACGTGGTACCCGGTTCCTCCAAGTCCTTCCCATTTCCCGAGCCTTAACCGCAAGAAGAACCCTTCGAGACCCGATACAGACTTCTTGGTGTTTATCCATCTGAAATGAAGATTCAAATAATATATTGAGGAGGCATTCACAATGTGATAGGAGAAATAGTCTTCAAGTGTAAACCTGAATCTTACTTGAGAACGTCTGTGCGGGTCAAGCGAAGCATTTGAACAGCATTAAAGACGGTCTTTGGTGCGTCTGTGAAACCACTTAAAGGCAGCTTCGTGCCAGAGGTAGAAGCTAAAACGTGCTTTATCGCTCTATCTTCAGCTCCTGAAGTACTGTACAGTGGAGCACTCGGGCATGTTGCAGCCCAGTGAGTTAGCTGAAAACATCTAATGCATAGACTTGAAGCTTCTTCTCTTCTACCGTTCCGAGCACTTATGTTCTGTACTAGATCTCTGAGCTCGGTGTCTGTTACTTCCAAACAATCCTGTAAACAATGACCCTTTTTGCCGCAGTAGAAACAGTTTAGTCCCTCCTCTGTGTTCTCAGCTAAAGAACATGAAGGCATGATGTGTTTCATTGCTTCCAATCGTCTTGCAAACAAAGAAGCCATTGCTTCCGAAGACTCTATTCTCATAGAAGAAACTATGGGAAGAATGGCGTTCTGCGTTTTAACCGCGTCTGGGGATGAATCATTGTTCTCTTTAGCCACTTCATTGGTGATTCTCTCATGAAGATCTTTTTTCTGAGGCAAACTACTCTTAGAAGAAAACCGGCTTATCCACAAACTCTCAAGACCAGAGTTCTTGTTGGTTAAAGATTGAGTAACTTTTTCATCAGCTTCACCACAAAGAGTCTTTTGCTCTTCATTCATCTTAGACTTACTAAGAGACAACAAAGCCACGTTTGGCTCTTTCTCTTCTTGTTTCTTCTCTGCAGAGAATGTTTCACTTGTCTGGTTAAATCCAACTTTTTCAGCCACTGGACCAATCTCATTGCCAGATGAAGAAGACAAGTGATCTCCTTTGGTAATGAGACATTGGTCAGGAATCCAGGGAAGTTCCTTCAAATAAGCATCTTGACTTCGTTTCTTCGGACAATATATAGACTGGAAAAAAGACTGGAAACCGGTGTTTTCCTTCGGAGACGTTCCTTGTTGATCAACGATCACTTTAGCGTCTGAGGTTGTGGTAAGCGCTACAAAAGGAGAATCTTCATCTTCGTTACCTTTCCAGATTCCTTTTGTCATATTTGATATCCAATTCATAAACGAACTGTCTTGCTTGAGCTTTGAAGTTGAACCCAAACATTCTTGATTTAGCGTTTTTAGCCGTTTGCTTCCAAGAATCAGTTCTAGCTCAAAACCTGCTCTTTTCTTTCCCCTTAAGAGCAAACCAGCACTGTTGCAACTCTCAACACTCCCAAAACTCTCATCATCATCATCATGACCGTTAAAGTTACCATCAGATAAAGCTTTTTCTTTCCCTTTTCCTTTCGCTAGACGCCTATATGAACAGCTCGGTCCAGACTTTTCGACATCTGTCTCGTCTTCCCTTTTGCTCTCACGTTCCACCAGAGCCTTACTAGCTACAACAGCAAGAGTTTCCAATTCGTTCTCATCCGTTGCTTCCTCTTTATCCAAACAAGTATAAGAGAAAGAAGCAAGAAAACATAAACCTCTGCTTCTCGTAAATGAAATCTGATCAAGAACATTATTAAACTTCATATAATCAATCACTCACCTAAAGATCTTTTGCAACTTGCTACTCTTCTCTCTGCTTCTTCTTCACTATGTACATCATCATTGGTTTCAACTTTTTCCTCAACCATCTCTTCTCTCTCAAGTTTCACATCCTCAACAGAATCACCAATCCCTGAAAACACACACACAGACAAGAACTCTCATTACCTACCAAACAAAGACAGTTCCACCAATAATCAATTTGGTTTATATCATTTTAGCAAACCTGACAATGCTCTGTTCACTTCATCATCAGTTCTACTTCTCAAACCGGCTTCTTCTTCTTCCTCTTCTGCTTCTTCTCCGATTCTCGAATGAGACTCCATGTTGGTTTGTCCTATATCCTCAAAGAAATTAGGAGAGAGCAAATTTCCCTTTCCCGTTAAACTGAAATCTGCACATCTTAGGCTTAGACCGTTGCGAGGAGACCAGACTAACTCTGATAAAGCATCCACCGAAGCAAACTTCATTCTTGCTTCTGCATTTGCACTAGCACTCGAAGAAGACGAACGTCTTAGCTCATCTCCATCACCACCCATGTCTCCTGAAACGAACCACCCTGAAGACAATAACGAACCAGAATCCACGCGAATTTTGACCTTAAAAACGAAAAATCTAACCTCACTTAGCTTACAAAACAAGAAACTATAGTAACCACAGGCAACAAATCTAAAACCCATCAAAAATCAGGCAAAGTTTCAAACTCTCAGTTACAGTAAACAGAAAAACTACCAAATTGATTGAAAACCCAAATTGAATCTTGAGATCAAAACCCAGAAAAGCTACTTTGAAATCCGGATTTTGGAAAATTTATTGATTCGCGGATCAAGCAAATGATTACCTCTATCTCAAGAAATCACTCAGTTAAAAAACGAGGTATCTTCAGAGTCAAGTTGTTCCGAAATTCAATTAATGAAACCCTAAACCCAAAAGAAAGATGTTTCTTCTTAGGATCAGAAACCCAGAAAATTCAAAAGCATAAACGTCAAAAATTCTAAGGAATCATACCAAAAATAAAGCTAAATTCGAACCCAAGTTACCTCCATCGAGGAATCGATTTTATACTTCCAGCGAATTCTCCACTAAGAAAGGAGAAAAAATTGTGAAAAAGAAAGAAAAAAAGAGAGAGAAGAGGAAGAGGAAGACGAAGACGACAGCGCCAAGCGGCTATGGCTAACGATGTGATTTGAAACTTGCTTCAAAAGCTTTTTATTTTACTTGCATTTTTGTATAAGGCCCCTAGACCGCCACGTGTACACTTTCCTCTCCATACATTTCCACACTTCCGAAATTAAAAAAGAATCATTTTCTGATTCTGGCTATATAAATAATATTTAGAAATTAGTGTCTACGACGATGAAAAAGATAATCATATCGAAAGATTTGTAGTAATGTAATGCGAGATATTTTGTTATTGTAAATATTTTATTCAAATGCAAACAAAATCTATTTCCTCTTCGAAGATTTCTCTTTACTATCCTAACATCTATATAATAAGCGCATACAAAAGAATAATATGAAAATCACATAAATATGTGTATATACAATTTGTTTTATAAAAAAAAAAAAAGAGTGATGAGATTATGTCCTCTTCCGCTGTCAAGTTCTTGTTTGCTTCTGTAATTGTACGGCTGCTCTCAATTTCACTTAGCTTTACAGAAAGTAATATTATATGTAACTTCCATTAAAAATAACATAAAAAGTCCAATGTTGATAGTAGGATAACATTGATGTATACATGCGTTGAATCGTTGATCCATATATGAATCTTTTTTTCCTAGGTGTAAGGCCCAACGTATAGATGCCACACATGTTTAAGTTTTGTTTTTCCATTGTACCGTTTGTATCATATATTTACAACAGATTAGATTACGTGTATATACGTAGAGTTTATAGTTTTTTTTTTAAAGAAAAAGAAAAGAATCAAATTCAGATTGACAATAATTTATAAAACAACAATGAAATGTTAAAAAAAAAAAATTAATCGTTCTTTCTAATTAGAACTACTAAGCATGCACTAACTATACGGTAGTTCAATACTATTATTTTTTTTCTGAAAAAAGAGTTCAGTACTATTACTATATTTTGAATTTAAGTCTAGATTACGAGCTTTCATATGTGTTTGGTTTCTAACTTTTCTAGTATGGAATTATTAACTTGAACACTTCTCTTCAATATTACTCCCTCCATTTTTTTATAAATCATATTTTAAGAATTTTTTCTTGTTATAAAATAGATGATGTCTTTAGAAATTTGTGGAAAATTTGATGTCAAATAAATTTTTTATATTTATATTAATTAATAAATTAATTTAAAACATCATCAATTATAATAAATAAGGGTTATAATAAGTATTATATTTGCTTTCTTAATTTATATGTTTAATCCTGAAATATCTTATAAAAATGAAAGGAATGTTATTTATATCATTAGTTTTTAATGGATTTTATCATTTGATTTTAGTGGAAACTTCTATTAAATAAAGAATTATGATTTTTCACCTTAAAATAAAACGTCTTATAAAGCTCAGTTAATAAAGCTCAGTTTCCTGAGTTTTATAAAGTGAAAATTCTAATGAATAAATCCATTCATGTCAAACATGATTTGACAATAAAATAAATAATTTATGACTTTTTAATTTTGTAAATTAAATAACTTGAAATAAACACTAAAACATTCACGTGTGTTGTATTATTTATTTTATTTGTTAATATTATTTTTTGATTGATACAAATTCAGTTGCATCATTTAGTTAAATTATTCTGGAAGTAGTGATGCTAATCATTTATATCAATATTATTTGATTGATGCAACTATTTTCATCGCTTATATTAATTGATATTAATATATATCATTTGTAATAAGTGATATTATTATTTAACTCAGTTAAAATAAATGATACTAATATTTACATCACTTAGAATAAATGGTATTAATATTTACTATTAGTTATAATAAATGATGTTATATATTTCTATCATATATTTTAGCTGATAGTATTATTATGTATATAAATCAAGGATATTAAAATTAGCGTTGATTTTAAAATTTGCGTTAATTTTTATAATAATATAAATTTAAGATAACTAATTATTTTATATTTATTATTCTAAGAAATATATGAAAAAACATACATATGATCTGACATAAAAAAAAGTTTGGTGTTGTTGAATTTCTTTTATAGAGGAGAAAATAGTACTCTTCATTATTCTTAGCAATGTGAAAATTTATATTTTATTTGCATCACTTTCATAACTGAAATAAATATTATCATCATTTATTATTGATGTTAATGCCAGTTGGTTATTCACTTATATAATTGATGTAAATTTATATATTTGTGTTACTTTTTAAAAATGATATAAATTAATAATGATTTCTATCAGTTTTTTTTAATTGATATAAATCAAGTTAGTATTAGTGTCAATTATTTTTAATTGATATTAGTCAAATTAAGATTAATATTAAATAAAAACTGATATTAAATAAAAATATCAATTTTTAATAAGTTATTCTAAATAGAATTACTTATTTTATTGATATTTTGTAAGTGATGTAATATATATTTTTTAATGTAGTGAAATAACTAAGTTTTTTCCGTGTCTTTTTTAATATTGTGGATTTTTTAATAATACAAGACAAATTTTTAGAAGCGGTGTAAGATACATTTAAGTGTGTTCTTTGTTTTTGTGTTTATCAGCTTTTTTATTTAATGTACATAGTATATTACTATGTTGAAATGTAAAAAAACTGTATGTTCCTCCTGTACAGAGTACAGACATTCCACATGCCAACCCTAGACAAAAAAAGTCACTTGAAAATAGTAGTATTGTTGAACAAAATGAATTGTTTCAAATTTTTAAATCCTAACTAAGAGAGTGTGTGAGTTTAAAATATATTTAAATTAAATAAAAACAAAATATAAGTGTCAGGATTTGAACTCATGTTTAAGGAGTCAAATGAAGGCATTCTTACCAATTATACTGTCCAAAACAATTAAGATAGAGTAACTAAAATCCGGCTAAACACATTTGATTTGAGAAATTAATAAAAGTATATCAATTTTTTTTCCAATACATCTCTATAATTTATTTATTTTTATGTAAGAGCAAGAATTTCAGAGAACATACGTATTCCGAATATGTATTTGTAATAAAAATTTCAGTTTTATTTGTTTGTTTGTTATTCCTTAACTTCAACTAATACTTTTTTTAGAACTAATTATCCTCTATATATTAATTGAGAAGCATTTTTAAATAGTAACCTAAATTTTGTAAGTTATTTACAATGATATCATTTTGATATACCATCACCAAAATTATTTTCAGAAAATTTATAAAAATAAACTTATGTTACTAGATTAATTGCATGGTATGCCACTCACATTAATTTAGTTATACATTAGTTTATATCAATTATTTATACATAATTCAGAATTTAATAGGTTAAGATATTCTTCCTACCAAAAATATATCATATTATTTAGTTATTTAGATATTCTCTATTATTTTTGTTTAAACTTATTTTTGTGAACAAATAAATCATTACATCATCCATATAGTAAAAGATTATATATTTGTTTTCGTACATATGTTATAATTCAATTTTTAAAGATGAATATAAATTACTTGAATGGGTTAATAAATAAAAATATGTTTAGAAATTTTAAATTGGAAATGAAGATATGTACATCAATAGATGATGCATAAATCATTATCAAAAAATATAGATGATATAAATTTTTTTGTAAAAGTAGGAAGTTTGGTCTAATAGATATTCCTATTTATATGTATTTTTGGTTCAATATAATTTTAATAGAAACTAAAACATATAAATTAACACTTTATATAAAGTTTGAAATATTATATCAAAAAATAAAAATATAAAAATAGTTATATATGTTAAAAGAATATTAAATTATAAATATTTTAATTTGATTAAAAAGTTAAATATTATAAATTTTTAATTTATAGAAAAAAAATAACTGGATCAAAAGATATTTTATTTTGTTAAGATATTATATAATAATTTAACCAAACTTTTGATATTAAAAATATTTTTATTGGATCAAAATGTTAAGAGTTTATAAATTTTGACTCAGTTAAATAAATTTTAGAAAATTTATTAAAAATATTAAAATTAAAATATTTAATCTGTTTTATATAATCTCAATGTTTATTTAGTATTTTAAAATAAAATTAATAATACTTTACTTTTTTAAAAAAGTTGAGTTATAACAATTGTTGGGCCTAGTTTTACCATGGCCAAGGATAGCACGACACATGGATACCGAACCATCCTAGACGCTGACATAGCCTGCTAGTTTGGTCCACAACTCCTTAGCGCACTATTTCTTGGCAGTTGGCAAGCTTTCCAAATCATGCATGCGCCACTAGCCCGCATGCTCCTCTGACACGCCGAACGGATGGAACTAGACAGAGAAGACTTGTATAAAAAGAGATATCCTTACAAGAAAAAGGAGGACCCAGAGAAGGAGGCCAAAGAATGAGAGAGAGAAAACTCGATCTAGAGAGAAATATGTAGAGAACAAAGACGAGACCTCTTTAGAGTTCAATCTAAGGAGGAAAGATCTGACCATGTTCCAGAGAAGCCAGGCACCACCATGCAGCGTCCCTCGAGATAACGCCAAACAGGATGAGTCCCTTATTAACCCAGAACCGTGTCTTTATAATCCCTACATCTTGTTTCCCATATAGATCCCCTTGAAACACCCATAAACAGAAAGATGTCCCGATCTCCGGACAAGGCATCTAACTCCTAACCTGTAGAATCACCCTCCTCCGTACTTGTTCCCGGTAGGACGTTCATTGACATGGGCGTCGGAGAATCTTCAGGAGAGAAACCCCCATTCGGTCCTCTTGAAAGCCCGACTGATCTTTCGTGTAGTGCTCGCATGACTCGAATAGGTTCCTACCAATGTCTGCAGGGCCTGAACCGGCTTTCACCCCGGAACAACTCGTCGGCTTTCCCTCATAGAACAAAATCTGGAGACACAGCTCCACTATCCGGACGAATAACACACCCCCACGTGGCATCCTGCAAAATGCTCCTGAACAATTGGCGGTTGAAGGAGGGGGGATTGATATATCATGGTTTTTATAGTTTTTAACCATGGTATAAGCCCTTTTTATTGACTCTTTTTGGTCTTTTTAGAGTCCTAGAAGAGTCTTTGCAGGTTATAGCATGTCTAGAGCATAATTGGAGATATTGGAGCCTTTTGGA